TTCCCTACATACATAACTCAGGTCTCTGTCTCCCTGTCACATATGCAACAGTGAACATTACTTTTCTTCCCTGCAACTTTTCATGATCCTGTGTGGGAGTAGTACTCATAACAAGACCAAACTCTGTCTGGGATGTGGAATCAAGTTAAAGACAATCGGTAAAAATTGGGCCAAAAAGAAATGGTGATGAGAGAGAGATTTGAAATAGGGTGGGCTGAAAGGACAATGTCAACTTGATTTTTTTAAAACTGATTAGCATGAAACATCCAACTGCCTCACAGACTAGAACTTCAAAATAGTATGGTAATATTTTCTCTTAATCTTATAGATGTTGGTAGACGTTGCATTGCCCTGCAGAAATGTAGACCAGATTTTTTAACTGTTGTAAAAGAAACACTAAACATCAGGACTGGCTATTTCTCAAGGAAATTTTTTCCATCTTAAAAAAAAAAAACGGAATTAAAACCTTAGGGGGAAAAATTTGTTTTGGTAGAAAAATTCTAACTTTCTGTTACTTTGCTTTCCCACCCTGTCCTAGAAGTTCTCCACTGAAAAAAGGGAGGGAGAAGTACTTAAAAAAGGGGGTGGGGGATGAGGTGGAAGAAACAGTCTTTATCTTTTTTCTCCTGGAAAAGCATGAAAACTTAAAAGGAAAACAAGCAAGGAGTGCTCTGCACAGAGGCTTGCCTGCTACCTCTTTTGCAACTGCCTTGAGAAGTAAACACCCATTTGCAGCTCTTGTGGGAGAACAAGCACATGATCTGCCCAGAGCCCTGCACTAGAGTGATGTCACTGTGCTAGTGCAAGAGACACGAGGTTGAAATGACTGCTAACAAAACAGTGATGCTAACTATACCCCCCATTCAAGGCATATACATTTAATCTCTCTCATTTACAGTAATCCCTAGGTATCACAGCATATGTGTTTCTAAATAATAATATGTTTTGTGCACATGAAAACTGACCATCTTTAATGCCTTTTAACAGTATTATCAAACTTAAGTTGTAGTATATCAAGTCAGGCCCAGAGCTATCATGAGATTGTAAAGATGTGTTTCTTTCTGCTTTCCAGTGCTTAGGGTCACCTTTTCAAGACTGTTTTCTACAATTAGGAGGAGCATTTGGGGAGCAGTTTTTTTGTTTGCTTTTTTCTGCGTGAAAACTGAGATTCCCATCCGAATACTTGATTTCTGCAGCCTGGCCTTAAAAAACACCTAACAATGTAAAACTTGCAACTCTGTTATAAGAACTGGCAATAAGGCTTCAAATAAATCTGTTGAAACTGGAGAAAAAAAGAGTTAAGAGAAGGACTTGGCAAAGATTCAAAGATTCAGTTTGGGCTCAAACGTGAAGACAAAATCTCTTCATTTTCTCAGGGAGACTTTTGCAGTGAGCTCCAACTGTATTTTATGTACTTGTTATCCTGTGCAGTGTCCATCACAAAGCAACCAGGTCAGTGCTTCTCAACCTTTGTGAGGTCCCACTTGGAAAATGCCAGCTCTTCATTTTCACTCAGTTTTTTTACTATAAAAAGGTAACGGAGAAGCTTTTCTGTTGCAAAGACCTTGAGCAGGCCATACGTGGTTGCCATGTTTCTAACGCTGTAATGTCTATGGGAAACCTCTAGTTTATTGTATGAATCGTGTTTGCACAGCTACCAGCGCTAACACCGAGTGGCACCTGGCAGCTCTCCTGAAAGGATCTTAGGGCACTCCACGGTCCTGCAGCTCCGTTGCTGAGTATCACTGACCTCAGTGCTTGTACAACTGGAAAGGAAAAATCTACCCAAGTCTGAAACACTGTCGCGCTCTCAGGGCAAACAATTTTGCTTTGCTGCCACATAACGTTTATTAGGCCCCCGCTCCACATGATATATATTATGCCATCAAGTAGTGAATCACGCCATGAATTTAGACTAGCCACATGTGCAAAATAATTAATCCCACAATAATGACCCTCCAGCTATAAAAAGGGCTGACAAGCTACAAGGTTAGTGCTTTGAAACGTGTACCAGTGCTCCAGCTGGTTTCTACACACCTTCCATTTGAACGTGTACCAGGGCCCTTAGGGCCACACTGGGGGGTACTGTTAGGCCCTGACCACAGCCCCGGGCCAGGCCGATGCCAGGGGGCGGCACCCAGCAGTGCCCCCCGCCAGTCACACCCCGTCTGGCAACTGGTGCGAACTCTTTGATGCCTGGTGGCCCTGAGCAGCACTGGGAGAGGAGAGGAAGGGGGTCCCAGACAAGGCGCTGCGCCCAGGCGGCTCCGGGGTCCAGAGCTGAGCGCCCCGGGGTGACACTTACCCAGGCCCAGCACAGGGATGCTGAGGCCGTTGGCGAGCGGCAGCGCGGGCCCACCCAGCGCGCGGGAGGCCATGAGGCGCCGCGCCCACCCGTGCAGCCGCGGCACCACGCACCGTCCCTGCGGGACCACGGTTCGTGCGGGATCGGGGCGGCCTGAGGGGCCGGGGGCGGCGGCCGGGCTCGGGGCGGGGGGCTTCCCTGCCCTGCCTTGCCCTGCAGACATGCGGGCGGGGGCAGGAGGGGTTATATACACCTCGGGGGTGATACACGCGCTTTTTATATAATAGCATGTTTTATAGAGAGAGAAAGAGATATAAAACATGCCTTAGATAAACGTCCATGTTATAAGCATAATACTTCATACCAGATAGCATGCTATATAGATCGTGTGTAAAGGACATTATACATGTGTGTTTCATATATACATAATGTATATTACATGCAATATAATGTGCATAAATATATAATATTTATATACACATGTACATATAGACATGTAGACAGGCATGAACATGTGTGTGTATATAGATGTGTGTATATACACATGCATGCGTACATATATATACACACACGTGTGTGCATATATATTTTGTGTGTGTGTGTGTGTATATATATATGTATGTGCCTGTGTCTACATGTCTGTGCATGTGTGGATATGTGTGTGTATTTAACTTATACTGCATGTAATATACCTGCCTAGATATGGTAGAATCAATAACAGTTCATATACTTCAGTTGTATGGCATAAAATTTGCTATATTGCATGTAATATACTTGTAACCTACAACCTACACAAGAATATATATATAGAGAAAAAGAGATGTGCATATCTCTCTTTATATATATTTTGTGTATATATGTATATGTGCGTGTGTGTATATGAACATATATATATATATGTACATGTGCGTGCCTGTGTCCATGTGTGTGTATGTGCATGTGTACACACACACGCACACACGTGTATATAGGAAGATAAAGCTGCAGCTCCATTGCAGCCCCAAGGTGGGCTGTTGGATTATTATGGGGAGAGAGGAAAACAGGGATAGCATGGGGAGGGAAAGGCCTAGTTTGCCTCCCCAGATAAAGCAGGGGCATTGAAGCTGCTCCCTTTCAGAAGGTGCTAGGGATGCCGTCTGCCCAGTGGAGCAGTAGTTTTGGCAGGGGAAGAGCCCCGTCATGTTTTCCAGCGATGGAGATTGATCCACAGTGATCTGCCCCCATCTAATATCTGTTTCCTTTTTGTAGCAGGTTACAAAATTCACACCCTGGAGCTGGCATCTCATCTGCTGCCCCGATTAAAATGCTTTATCTGATTGGACTGGGGCTGGGAGACGCTAAGGATATTACAGTGAAAGGGCTGGAGGTTATAAAGCAGTGTCACAAAGTGTATTTGGAAGCCTACACGTCCATGCTCACTGTAGGGAAGGAAGTTCTGGTAGGTTTACAAGCAATTGGATTACAGGTTGTTACTGTATGTTGTAGTTACAAAATGTACTAAGGAGAATCCTGGAAATGGTGGATTTGGAATGTAACCAGTGAGGCCTGGCCTAGTATTCATTCAGTTACCAGATGAGTGCAGAATTTGGTTATATATGTACAGTATTTACTTGAACCTAAGATAAGCCTTGCACCATCAGTTTAGGAGAAAAAGTCCCTTGATACCTGCCCCCTCCCCTGCAGAATAGAAGAAAAATCCTCTTGTCTTAAATCCACATACAAAGGGGGATGGGGAGGTGGCTGCTGAAGCTGACACTGGTCCTGAGCCCAAGTCAGGGCCAGAGTCAGACCCACAGCAGTCTTGTGCCTCACTCTCAACCAGCATTCCCTCTAAGCTGTGCGGCATGCATGGCCACGCAGGCGCACTTAGCAGCGTGGCAGGAGTGCACCTGCACAGCCGTGCATGCCACGTAGCTTAGAGGGAATGCTGCTCTCAACTTGCCTTCTGCAGCTTCTGCCCCACCCTCTGTCCCTTTCCCCCACTTGCTGTCAGGCACAGCTTGGCTTTGTCTCGTACTGGATTCCCTTCTGGGCACGGAGCACATGGAAACTCTGTCCCCTGCCTGGACAGTCAGTGGCACTCACAGTTGCATGGCCCAGCCAGGGCTGAACTCACGCTTCTCTGGGAGGGAACAGAAAGAGGCAGAGACTGCAGGGAGCAGGAGGGGAAGGGGCAGAGATTTGGTGGGGGGGG